TTACTTCAAAAGCGTCGCTGCCTTGCCCCTCGCCCGAAGTGGATGACATCGTCTCGATGCGTGCCACATTTTGTCCGCTTTGTTCACCTTCGTGTGGCTCTTCGAGCCTTAGGCATTTTCCAATGAATTCAAGCATTCAAAGAGCCCCCCCCCACACACACACACACCCCGGCGCAAAGAAAACAGCGCACAGCCCTCGTGCTGTGCGTTATTAGTCACTCACTGGCAGTGGCAGATTAAGAAGGTGGGAGCCTGCAGGGACATATACAGCGAATGGGGGAAAAAACAAAAGGCAGCTCTCCAAAATGATCCAATAACCCCCCCCCTCTCCAGAAAAAAAAAACAATGGACTAGCCCTTCACCTCTGCTCACACATGAAAGAGTCAGCATTGATTGCGCAACACATATACAGTGTAATAAGTTGTAGAATGTACCATTTGGATGTGGGGGGTACGTTTACAGCAATATTACCCTTTTGCTCACGACACATGTACTTCATTCCGGTGTGTGATTAACACGGTCGATAGGCCATAGTGATTGAATTATACCAGAGACAAAATATATATGAATGAATATTTAATGATTATTGTTCACATACAGTACAGTATAATGCATGTTATTGTTTATATCGCAATAAGTATTTCAAAATAGCGTCACAAGGAAGGAAAGACGTTGCGTGCCATGAAGTGATCTGATTCGTCAATTAATCGCATTCCTCTTTGACCATGGATTAAGTTCCCCTTACTGGGTGCTGCTACCTTGAACTTAATCTATAATTAGGTTAGATACCAATTAACCCTCAATGGGAGCTTCTATTCACAACCTTATCTAAACGTACCCTAACAGCAGTGAATGTATGCTATATTAGCTCCCGAAAGTGATATCTTGCTGATTGTGTTGATAATAGCATGCGAATGGTTTTGACTATTCTGTTTTTTTAAAGATTGTTTTTTTATTATTGTAGGCCTGTAACTTCTCACGGCTAGGGCAACGCCCTCCCCCCATTATTTTCCATTCCCTCCTTTCCGCAGCTGATCCTGTCCAGCCGTGGCCCCCCAAAACTCGGTTGTGTTGCCATCCCATCCCACGTCTCTCCTCTGTTTTTTGTTGTCTCCCTTCCACCTTCTGTCGGTCTTTCATCTCTCCTCAGCCACGTGTCCTCGTGATGTGTGCTGCTCCATTTCCACGTTTTGCTTTCACAAAAGCATCAACGGTCAGCCGTGTCTTCCACCCCCCCCCCCCCCATATTTTTATTCACTGCTTTATGTACCTACCTCTTACACCTGCTCTCAACATTTTACATCAATCGATGGCAAACTCCATTGCACGCGAAGTGATGGACGCATAACGATCCCGGGAACTCCGGTCATCGGCCAAAGACGGTCACTCCATCGCGCGGCGCTTTCAGATGCCCTTCTGCGTCCGTCTGGAACGCTCTTCCTTCCGATATGAGGAAGCCACTCGAGCCATGGACTTTTAAATCGAAATTGAAAACGATTTTGACTTCAAACTTTCGTGACTGCAGGAATTTCATATTCTTTGGCTCTTTCGGTAAAGTCACGTTGCATGGGTTGCTTTTTGTGTTTAGTTTGTCTATTCCCCCGCACCTTGGGATAAGCGCGGTTGGTGAGGATAAGCGCGGTTGGTGCGAAAGAAAGTTCAACGTACGTGCGGACGTTCAATCTGCGAGCTGTGCAACTTTCACTAAAGTGGCACCTGGCCGGATCACTGACACGACGGTTAAAGGATGACGCGATCAACTATTGAGAATGTCACATTTTACGGACATTTGAATCATTTGGCGGTACCCCGGGGTCCCGCAAAAATCAGGTCAATAATTATTATTTTTCAGTCCGCCCCACTCGTGATCCCGACAGCAACGCGCCGCCCGCCCAGACTAATGCCAACAAGCGCCGGCAGCAGCAGCAGGCGGCGATCAACACGATGGGCGCCACCCCACCGGCCAAACGCAAGCCCCGGGGGGCGTCTGCCGCAGTCGCGCGCGGCGACGACGCCCTCCGGTCAGTCGTCGATCCTCAGCTTCTTTGTCAAGGCGAGCCCGCCCCCCCCCAGGCAGTGAATGTAACGTGTTTATGTAATTTTTCAACTTTTTACGAAACTTAGTGCCCCGAGTAGCTCTCGACGAGGCCAATGATGGGACCCCGGGGTCCCGCCAATTGCTTCACTTGTCCACACATTTTCTTCGTCCCTGGAGAGATACGGCTGTGTAATACAAATGCAATCTGCCCTTCAGGTGTGTGTGTGTGTTTGTTGTTGGTTCATTCCTTTGCTCGAGCGTCCTCGCATTCTTACCGCGTGTAAACATGACACCTTTTGCATTAGCTAATGCTTTCTTGGCTCAGATCCCAACTAATTATTCACCATCACTGAAACAAAGTAAGTTATTTATAAATGATAATAAACATTTACAAGAATTGAACATCTACGCCGATATTGCATGAATACATTGTCAAAATGCAGACAGTAGTCAACAAGCGAGCGGTCGTGTGTTTGTCGCTAGTTGTAGACGGTCGTGGCTTCGAGCAGATGGAAACATTTGTGAACTGTGCCCATATGTTCAATATACATTTATCTCAATTGCTCCATAGACCGCATGCTAATCATTGCACTCGAACACGTCATCGTCATCAACAACCATGATCAATCCACTGCTGGATGAAGACGCTAGCCGCCACCTCTCGCGAGCCTGTGATGTAACACTCCACCCAGCACCTTCGTGTGAAGTGATTTCATGGCTGCTTCTCTTGAGGTGGGCGTGCTCTCTCTCGGACCCTTTCCATTCCTTGGCTGCCATTCCGTTATTAGTCACCACTGGACATCATCGTAATTTCGAGCGACGCATCCCGCCCCAGTGCACTTGCTCTTGTCAATCGGTTGGATCATGTCATTAGCCTGTTTAGCAGGCACACATACAGTACCATTTAAAATGTATGAGGCATCTGCCAAATTAAAATATTGCATTTGTAATTGCATTAAATATTCAAGAGCATCTTGCTGAAAGTGCAATATTTAATTTTAATATGGGCTCCAGTACACCTTTCCGTTATTATAATACCGCTGTTATGTGTGATGTGTGCTTGTGTTATGGATATACTGCCATTGCCATGAGAATAAAGGCGTCGCGGTGGCGCGATGTTAACTCCCTCGCCTGGCATACAGGAGGTTGTGGTTTCTACGCCGTCCCTGACGCCTGCTGTATATTTGGAGTTTGCATGTTCTTCCCGTGATCGCGTGGATTTTTCTCCGGGTCCTCCGGGTTTTCCCTCCACGTTTAGAAACACGCATTTAGAGTTATTGCCTGCTACACATTTCCCCATGATAAGCAACTTTTGTTGAACTATCATTTGTGGCCAGGTACCGTCTGATAAAGAGCTACATAGCTCAGTGGGCCTTACCTGGTAAAACATTTACTTTTTAATATAGAATGCCCACCACTGGTTCAGGGCTGCCAATATAATTGAGCTCCACTACATTTAGTGCTACGTACTGCATATGCACATCATACATCGGAATGTTGTAGTGAGATAATATGTATATGTAACGCCCTCTGAGAGCCTTCCATGTGGGTTGTGAGAGTTATTTGACCATATTTCACCACGCCAGTCAGTCTGGGTTAATGAAGATGGGGAGCTTAGAAGCCCCTGTTGCCCACAATGTCGACTCGTTATGCATCGCGGACATCCATCTAATAACTATCCACTCAACTTTTGCTTAGCTGCAGATATTTGATGAGGACGTGTGCACTTTGAGTACAGTGTGCATACATTTATACGTGTATGTGTGTGTGTATACATCCCATTGAAAATATCACACGCACATATATACCGTTATATCATCAGCCATGTTTTATCTATTGTTATATAAAGGCCTATTGATGACATGGTGGAGGGAGGCCTGCAATGTCAACATCCATCTCGCTCCTGCACACGAGCCGATCTCATTGCTCAATCACGTTGGTTGCCATACTCTGGGGCACGTTCTCTGCTTTGCCTGTCACCGATGTTGTCCATCGACTGTCACCCTCTGTAGCGATGTGTCCTACCCAAGCACACTTTTCTTTACAGACGATATCGTGTCACTCTGTTGCATTAGCTCTCTGATTCACGTGGTCCTCTGTCTCTCGGTGTAATTCCCACCAAGCATCTCTCCATGAATCTTTGCATTTTTTTCCAGTTTATGATCGAACCTCTTTATTTCGGAATCCATATTTCTGAACTGGTTAATATTCACCTGGTTGAAAGATAAACTCAGGAACATTGATACATTGCTTTTCAGTACCAAAAAGATGTCCCAAAGCAATCCACCGTCTTATCGCTTGCCTCTCAATTCCATCGCTGAGTTCCCGATCTGCATTCAACAAATTCCCCTCGGTATACTCTGTTGTGCTTCCCAGTCGTGTCCCCTCCAAGACCCATTTTAAAAAAGCAATTGTTCAAACATCACAATGCGGGGGCCTTTTTCGCACCTCCCCGCCCCCCCCCCACAAAAACCTTGAGACTCAATGAGGCTTTGCTTGGATAAATAATTGACACCGGTGTTTGCATATACACACAGCCGTAGACCCCCACCTCGCCCCCGTAAAGACTTTTCAGGCTGTTAGCGAGCAGCAATGAAGGTCGGCACGGCGCACGAGCGGTTGGCGCGGTCAGCATCACGCCCGATCGCCTTTGTCTTCCCCCATTACTGATACTTCACACGCCGCACCAGCTACACGTTTAGGGCTGCACACGCCCATAGCATAGGCAGGGCTTACACGTACATCCGTATCTGTGCCCGTATTTGTATATATAAAGATGTCCCACTGTATGCGTACAATAATGATTACACTCAGTGCAGAACTGGGTGGTGCTGGAGAGAGGGAGGAATGGGGGGGGGGGTGCAAGAGAGAGGGGAGGCACGGACGCGCACGCGCCGATGGGATGGAGGGGAGAGAGGATGGAGGGGAGCGAGGGAGGGATGTGGGGAGGGAGCCTCTGACTGCCTGACGTCACGGCTTCGCCATTTCACAGGGAGAGGAGGCGGCGTGTCTCTCCATTCTGCCCGTCTTCTGTCGGCTGCCTGCAACGCTAGCGGGCCCTGCCTGCCTCTCTCAACCCCCTCCCCCGCCAGCCTTGCCTGGGATCCCTACTCTCATCCGCTCGCGTTTTACATCTTTCCTTTTTTTTGTATATACTTAATGTTTCAAATATTATTTAAATAAGACGAAAAAAAACACATATAGCACCAACGGATTTGGATACGGAGAGAGAGAGAGAAGGGGGCAATATACAAAGGAGAAGTGTGCGAGAGAGGCAAAGGGAAGGGGAAAAATAAGATATCCTTTCATGATTTAAGAATTTTATTTGCAAAAAAAAAATCGGCCGTGTCGTGCGCTCGCTTTTTTTTTCCGCGTCGAGGCGTCGGTTTGAGATCTGGCGGCGAAGATTTCGCATTCGTCGGAGCGGAGCGTCGGAACGAGAGGATTTATAGCGAATCGCGAATACAACAGCAGCAGCAGCATCAGCAGCAGCATCGGCAGCGCCGTCCGCCAGCATGGGATGTACTTTGAGCGCAGAGGAGAGGGCCGCCATAGAGCGCAGTAAGCATCTCGAGAAAATGATCAAAGAGGATGGCATCAGCGCCGCCAAAGACGTCAAGCTGCTTCTGCTCGGTAAGGATGGCACTCGGCGCCAGCTGGCACCACCAACCACCCACCATCACTTACCACCATCAATACCACCATCAAACTATCACCATCAACAGCCACTCATTGCACCTCCATTCAGACGTGACCGATCAGCTCGACGGTGCGTTCGCCGCTAAGTCGCGTGCACGATTTTGTAAACTGCGGGCGCAGCATTCTGGACACGTTTGCATGCACGATGCGGTGTCTATCGGCTTTACCCCTTCCCCTCTTTGTGCGAGGAATTTATTTCTTTCTCCCCCAATTGCCTTTTGTCTCTCGTTTTATATGCGGTGAAAGAAAACGAAAAAAAAAATCCTCCCCGTGGGTTTTTTTTCGTTAGTGTTTGTTGCTTGTACGTATTTTAGCAATATTTTTTTATTTATTTTACAGGTGCTGGAGAATCTGGAAAAAGCACCATTGTGAAGCAAATGAAGTGAGTAAGCATCGACCGCACCAGAGGATGTGTTTTTTGTTTGTTACAAATTGTGTTTTGTGTGTGTGTGCATGCGGGTGTGTGCGTGTGTGCGTCTCAGAGATGGAAGGTGGGAATGGGTGGGTCCCCTCCGTATCTACCCCCCCTGCCCCTTGTATAAAAATATATATAATTGCGTGTTTTCTGCATCTCTACTCCGCCATATTAACCGGATCCGCCCGAAGCAAAAGCCAAGCTAACGTGCGCACGCACGAGAACGAGAAATTCCGAATAGTGGCGATTAAAATAACAATGATAATACTAAAAGGCAGAGCCAGATGGAGGGAGTCCGAAAGAAAGGGAGGGATGTGGAGAGAGACGATAGAGGGAGGGGGGCTGGGCTGGAAGAATGGAACGGACGGGGTGGGGGTTGGCGAGAATGAGCGAACAGAGAGAGGCGGGAGTGGGAGCGAGAGAGCAAAATCAAGCAGCCCCCTTGCAAATGGCTTCATATTGAACCGTATAGAGTGCGGCTTTCTATAAATAAATACATCGCATATTAACGGTATCTACAAATGGTATTAGGGCAACAAAAGTCTGCGGAATCGAATGCTGGTGCTTAACGAGTGAGCGGCTTGCGATCGCGTGAATGGATTCCCGGGGCCGGCAGGCGCACGATGGACATTGGTGGGAAGCGGCAAAACACGCGAACGTAGCAATGATTGTGTTATTACACAGCTGGTGCGATGGGGAGAGTCTCAATAATTCGATTTGGGTGGTGACGGGGGGGGGGCGTGCGTGCTGGACGCGTGCGCGCGTGTGTGTGGGGTTAGATGGCTGAGTGCGTGGGTGGGTGGGTGTGGGTGGTTGTGGGTGCTTTGTTAGATTGGGGCGGTTTTGTGGACGGGCGAATGTGGTCGTTGAAGGAGGAGGAGGAGGTAAGGTGGATGATAGAGAACGGTATTTTCGACGCACACCTTTCGTAACACGACTGGCAAAATGGCTGCGGCGGTGTACGATCACACGCGAGTTCGCCATGCCGTGGTTTCAGCACCCGTATGTGTGGACAGCGCCCGCGTCTCTCGCTCATCGCACGGAACCGATTGGCGGGCGGCGACTGTTTGCGACTCGTGGCGAGAGAGAGGCCGCCCTGAATTCAACATGAACCGCATCGCACCGCCACGTACCTCCGTCGTAGCAGCACGTTTAAAACGCGCGTATGCTACGTTGACAGCAGTGAGAGGCGATTGCGATTACGATGAACGCTGTGCGCTCTCACCTGTTGAGCTGTGTTCGAAATACAATGGCCAATTGCGGTGAGCGGAGGAACAATTGCAATCTAATTTGGATGCGTAGAGTGTTAAATGCAAACGCATCTCAAGGCGCTCAACACATTTGTTTTTGTGTATCGCGAAAATCGAAGGCGCATATACACCGCGATTTAAGAGACGAGACGATGGTAGGAACAGGGAGAAGAGAAATGCCTTTATTTTGCACTTGAACAGGGAACAGGGAGTAGACAGCACGGATATGGGGGAGCGAGTTCCAGAATACGGATGTAGCAGAGAAGGAATGATGGTTCACTGGTTGGTCCAACAGAAGGTCTTGGTTGCTGGAGCAGAGAGAGCACGCGAAGGAAGTGAGGTGAGATGAGGGGGAGAGAGATGGGGAGCGTGTGGAGGGGAGGTCAAGTGAGAGTAGAGTAGAGAGGTAGGCAAGTGTTAGGCCATGGGTGACAGCTCGGCTTTGGGTGGCGGTGGACTTGTCATCGCGCCCGAAACTCCCCCATGACCCCCATTTTAAAGGGACGCAAATGAGCGTAAAAAAACCCGACAGCTAATCCATTCCGTGGGTAATCTGCAGTGTATACCTTTTCCTCGAGCATCTCGGACAACAAAATATATATTTTATGTTAAAGCCGATTGGGCTTAATGACCCACGGCGTCTATCGGCAGTAAAAAAAAACGCGCGTGTCTCCCTTACACTTAATTTATGCAAAATATCCACCCCATTTAGCCTATAGGCTGCTGAGGCTAGTGCCGTTAGCGAGAACCGTTTTAGGCCAGTTTCAGGCTAAGCTGACCGATCTATAATAGGCCCGCCCACTCGCTTTAATACTACAAGTGTTGGTTATGCGTGATCAGGAATCGAACCCGGATCTCTGGGATCATGGAACCGCGACAGTGACGAACACACTATGCATACGTATCAATGGAGAATACCATGTTAAACAAAATATCTCCCATTGCAATATCTCCCATGGCGCGACTTACGTGTGTGAGTGGATAATGTGGTCAACACCACGCCCGGACACACAATACGCACACCCGCACATGACACTTTCGAGATGTTATCCAGCAATACGATTTGGTGTCGCCGACACATCTCAATTCATGCAGTTCACTGTAATAACAGAGCTGGACAAAGGCTCTGTCTGGTTCTTGCTCTGCCTCTGGGTGGAGGGATTGCACTGTGTGCCTGGCATTCCAAGACGCTGCATTTCTCATTAAATCGCGTTCCGTGTCCGCTGGCTCTGCTGGTCGTTGCCACACGAGGCAGTCCTGTGCAAGAGGCTTTGGGGTTGCAGAGGGGGCGGGGGGGGGGGGCTCCGTGCAATATTCGCCGACATGTTGCAGCGTGCTATCACTGTTTACCCAAGTCTCACAAGACAATTCGCCATGCAATCCAATTCAACTGCAAGGCTCGCTAACCAATGTTAGCGAGCACCCTAACGGGGGGTTATTAGTGCAACCGACTCGACTTACTGCAACACGTAAATATGTAATTTTTTATAGACGACTGTTCTGTATGAATATTTAAGTAGCCAATCGGAGATGACTATACATAGCGACGATTTTTCCTAATATACCACAATACTGTGATAATACCATCCATGCTGGGTGGCGCAGTTTGGTTAAGTTAAAATCTCGGTCGGAGTTCGACACAGCCCATAATCCCCGTTGGGATGGGTAAATTCACTACCACCACATCGCGGGAAGTTAGTTCAACAATCGCGTTATATAGAAATACTGGCTTCCGTCATAGGAATGTGGAATTTCTACCACTGGCTCGGGGGACCAGCGAGTGAGACGGGAGCCACCCCGTTGCTCCAACACGTTCTGCTTTCATGTTTGCACAGTCATCTTCATTATCGCGTGCCTTGCAGAATTATAGCAGCTGGCAGTGGTAACGAAATTTCCAGTGCATATGCTCCCCCCCCCCCCCTCCATACAATGAACAAAGCAAGAATATGGATAGTTAACTGGACGGTGCATTATGTGAGGACACGTATGGGCCGACTTTACGGCATGACAATCCAGCAAAATACCGTATACATTATTTAGCCGTACCAACAGGAAGGAAGAACGCCTATAAATAGCTTACGAAGATATTACCCAACGCAACCTCACCACGCCCTATTGCGCTATTACGTGGTGAGAGCTCTCTTTTGTTAAGATGCTTTTTGTTGTTGTTTAATAATGCAGAGTCTTGGTACCGTCTTGGGGCATTAGGAATCGCAATGAATGGCAAATGGCATCCGGAGTGTGTGTGTTTATGGAGCCCACTGAGGATTCCAGAGGCTCAGGGGTTCAAGACATGCGGGATGGATGATGCAGCAGTGTCGATTTTTAATATATTTTTCGTAACATTTAAATTTTAAAAACGTAATGTCCTCTGCATGGATGAAATATTATGTTTCCCACGACTTATTAAACAAGCAAAACCCACTGAAATATCTTGCAAGGGAGACTTGAGAGATAGCCTACACCGTGACGGCGACCTGGGTTCGATTACTGCCCATGTACATTGATAGCAATTAGTATTAGCTGAAGTCCAACATGAGCACCTGGCATGATGACGCTGACCAACCCGCCCACCCCTTCACATACCTCGCTGGCTTTCACAAGGAGCTCACCTGTTTTTACAGTCTGTAATGCTAACCAGGGAATATGTTTTACTTGTGTTACATGCAGTGTACGTGCGTGCGTTATTGTTAATTAGCTAACTACTCATGCCAATGCAGCACAAATGAAAGGGCGTTGCGGTGGTTCTGAAATGGACAGCTCCCTGTCTCGCCCATACGCCCGTGGTTCTTGAGCCTTGCATGAAGGAAAACACAGGGAGAGCAGTCGGGTGCGAGCGTCTTTACAACAGCTTCTCCTTCAACTAATCAAACTACATTTGATATTTTCTGTGGAGGATTCAACGTATTGGTTTTCTTTAGAGAAGTGCATAGCGCATTATTAGTCCCCAACAAACTCATTTCAGCTTGAATGTCGTTTGAGAGCATCGGAGTTAAAGGCATCACATCAGCCCACCGTAGCTTTCACCTCGTCTGAAGTCTCCTCATAGAGAAGTGTACTGAATAATAATAATAATAATACATAGATTACACATGTAATGCTCACAGAATCAGAATCTTTATGTAGACAGTATTCGCTCGCCCTTGCCGAGAGAGAACGACTCAAGAGGGGGCGAGGACCCACAGACAAGCAGCAAGTCGGCCACGTGGTGAGCCTTAGCCAACAATTGTCCAAGCTCTGCAGTCCTATAAATAAATGTATATTGTATCGAGTGTTTTTATATTCTCGCAAATTTTCATGCAATTGACCAGTGGGGAGCCCTCGCCTCCATTGATGGTCCTTTGCCGGCCCTGTACATTCCCACATTCCTGTCGCGCGTTGGGAGAAGGACCTCCAATTAATATTTGAACTTGTGACACAAATATATGGTAGGTGTGCCTGCCCCTGTGGTTCCTGATCAATTATAAGCACGTAATACGTTATATATAACGCAGTTTATGTGTACATTGTAGAATATCTAAGTACTGTGGTGCATTACACTGACTCACCACCGATAACGTTTGTGTTGTTTTGATGCTTTAAAACTCTGCTGTCTGCTACATAGCATTGCCAGAGTGCACAGCGTAATGAAAATGGACTTTTAAAGAGCCCGTGATTCCATTCGCAAACAACAGGACAATGTCATGGCTGACATCTTACATTTATATATTTGTATTA